TCCTTGTCCTCCTTGGAATCTTATTGAAAGTATCTTTGTTCTTTGGTGATTTGGAGTCCTAATTCCTGTTCTTTTCAGCCCAATTTCGTGCCTCCCCTTCACCCTATAAATACATGATGCCACAACACTAAAAAACCACCACCCTCTACCACAAATTCACACCACACCATCCACCACACCTCAAGAGCCTAAATTAACACAAATCCCCATTGTTGGCTGCAAGGAAGGAAGGAGGAGCCACCGGGAGTGTTTCTAGGTGTATTTTATCTTTGTTTTTAATGTTTTAGTTTAATTATCTTTGTTTTGAGAACATGTGGAACTAACTTCTTTTTAGTTAGAGGTGAATTCGAAGCCATGATTATATGTTTTATATGAATTGATTACATCCAATTATTGTTTCTCAAGGCATGAATGTGATTTGCTTATCTAAGTTATTAAAACTTGTTTACGTATGTGGGTTGGGGGTCTATACTTAATTTGCATGCATGAATTTGATGCTAGAGTATAAGGGGGTTTCACGTAAGAGTTATTCACTTATATTCACAAGTAATGGAGGTTGCTAGTCACAATCGTGTTAAATAAATCCTCGGTAAGAGTCTCATGCGTTTCATAGTGATGAATGCCTTGTCAATGCTTATGATTTTCATAGAACTTAATGACTTTTGACATGTATCTCTATCATGCATTTCATATAGGGAACTTGAGAAAGATAATTTGGTTTAGATGCGTATTCCATCTAATTCAATGAGATAAGGAAAATCTGATGGTTAGTTGTGCGATACAATTAACTTGGGGCACTGTCATTCATAGTCTAAAGGAATAATAACTGGAAATTGGTTCATATGCATATGTGTCATGTGTGGAGAAGGACCCTCTAGCTAGCTTATCACCTATAGCTTTCCCTAATTTTGTCCAAGTTGTTTAGAGTCTTTATAATCTGTTTGTTTTTACCTTAATTTCATCCAAAATTCAATCCCTCTTTACTTTGTTGTGTCAAATTAGTTAGAATCTGTCCAAGTTGTGTTTTTAAGTGTTTTGAGTCAAGTTAAAAGTTATTTTCGTCCAAAACACTTTATTGAGTCTAAAATTGAGTCTTTTTTATTGTTGTTTGCTGTTTTAAGTGTCTAAAGTTAGTTTTGAGTCTATAGAGTCTAGTTTAGTGTTTTTAAGTCTTAATTGTGTTGATTAACATCCCTTCTAATCCCCGGCCTAAAACGATCCCTACTTTCATATACTACAATCATAGGGTTTTAATTTGAGTGTTAGAATATTTCACATCAAATTTTGGCGCCGTTGCCGGGGACTAGTAAAATCGCTAATCCCTTTGTTTGTTTGTTTATTTTTCTTTTGATATTTGATTTAGTTTTATTTCTTTGATTTCAGGTACTAGAGAAGCAAGACATGGCAATTGCTAATCTTCAAGCTCAAATAACGAATCTTACGTGTCAGTTATCACAGTATGCCGAAGGGTCCACAATGCAAAGTGTCCCTACATTTGGTGCTTCTTATAGGCAAGAATATCAAGCAAATCAATGTGCACAAAGAGATTGGAGTGATCATTCAAACTCTATGTGGTGGGAATTTCAACAAGTTGAACACAAAGGATATTGGCAGCCATATGAGGAGTTTTATTCAACACGTATGCAACCACCACAACCTGCCCAAACAAATTCAGGTACGTCTTTGTATAATGATACGTTTATTAAGTTAGTCACCAATTTGGCTCAGGGCAAGAAAATCAAAACAAAGCAATGCAAAATCAAGACAAAAGGTTGGACCACTTGGAAAAGCAAATTGGGCAGATAGCGGAGTTCGTAGGACAATTTCGAGACCAAGGCAAACTCCCTATTTCAACCATTGCAAATCCGAAGGGAGGATTTGAAACTGCCAAGGAAATCATCTTGAGAAGTAGCAAGGAGGTTGGAACAGACCCTAAACCATCAAAATCAAATTACAAGGAAGATGAAAGAATGCAATTTGAGGAAGAGGAACACACCCAACACACGGCAAGGGTGGAAACACCTTTGACATGTTTAAAAACTAGTAGAGTTCCTTAAAATGTAAGGAAAGTTTTGTCTCTATATATAAATCTCTCTTTCCCTTTATTTTTTATTTTTTATTATACACATCTAGCTATTAATAAAAGAATAAGGATAATACTTGAATACTTACGAGGAGTACCTAAATTACTGACCAATTAAATTTATTTTGATAAAAAAAAACAAACGTCATTCACATTGAGGAGTACTCAAAAGGTTAATGGTGTCTTCTACAAACGATACGGCCGAAATCAGTGTGTCAATGGCGACCTACTGTCGTTGGATGGTACACCCGAGAAGCGGATCGAGTGGTTAGTGATGGTTGGGGGTTTTTAGGGATCGAGAGGTTAGCAATGAAGGTTTGAGATGGGTTTTTGAAGTCTTAATTAATTTGAGAATCTGAGTTGTCTTGAATAATAGTGTGATCTGGGTTTGTAAAATAGGCATTGATTGTTAGCTTGGAATTTCACAAATTCAATTCGAGGTTTTCATAATTTTCTTTTATTTTCAATAGAAAATAAATTAAAAGATAATAATAATAATAATAATAATATATTGTTAGTCCAGCTTCTTAGTCCAACACTGCACCAAATGCTTCACTAAGTTAGTCCAGTTTAGTCTAGTCTAAGCTAGTCCAGTCCGAGATAGTCCGGTGCAACAAACATACCCTAATCGTGCATCTCCCTCTCGCTTAGAATACCTCTCCCCTCGCTCGCTACCTTGAACTCTCGCTCAAACTGCCATCTACCCAGAGCAGCAACGGTGAATTTTGCGCAACAACAATCAGCAGCAAAATTGAATAGAAGAGCCAAATGATCTTGAAAAACAAGGAATCTGGTATGTTTTGGAAGATATACAGACGAGTATTTGTTGGAACCCCCAGTCCCACATCGGACAGAGGGAGAAGAGAAGAGTGCTTTAAATAGAAATACCCCTCTCTAACTAACATCGAGGCCTTTTGTGATAAAACCCCACACCTGAGGATTGTGTTGGAACCCCCAGTCCCACATCGGACAGAGGGAGAAGAGAAGAGTGCTTTAAATAGAAATACCCCTCTCTAACTAACATCGAGGCCTTTTGTGATAAAACCCCACACCTGAGGATTGTGCAGGTGGTTAAGTGGGGATAGTATCGGTGTTGTTGGAGTGGGCCCTCGGCCCGTCGACCTGAAAATTTCTACAGTATTTCTCCATTCTCAATTTTTATCTTCAATTTTATTGATGTGAGCAGAGTTTTTCTCTTAGTAGGGTCTGTTCTTGTCATAGTTAATTTTGTTCCAATTAACCAATCATTTAACAAATTCCGTGAATTCAATTCTTTTCGATTCCCCATTTTCTTTTCAATTCCAGTGGACCTGAATGATCCATTATCTGCTGTATATTGTTATGTAATGTTTTCTGTCTTTATATAATTTGAATTTGCATTTGACATTTTAGGTGGTTGTTATAGGTTTACTCTTGCTCTTGTCATTTTATTTTTTAAATGATTGGTTAATTTTGTTAGAATTAACCAATCATTTAAAAGTTCTGTTCAATTCAATTCTTTTCAATTCCACATTTTCTTTTCAATTCCAATGGACCCGAAGGATCCACTCTGAGCTGTATTTTTTGATGGTGTGTTTTCTGTCTTTTTATAAATTGAATTTGCATTTAAAATTTTGGGTGGTTGTTATTTTTGACAAAGTTTGCTGCTTTTGGTTTGGAAATTGTGATACTTGTGTTGAGTAGGCTCTATTTTGTCTCACGTTGAGAGACAACAGAAAAAAGCAAAGAATTAATAGAGAGCATATGTCATGTCTCTTGTATTAATATTGTGTTGCAGGCTACAGAGAACGAAGAAACTATAAGATTAAATAGCGAGTCATTACCAAGTGATGAAGATGATTTACAAGCTGCAATTCCTTCACCGACATGTCAATCTCAAAGCCATGATGGTTCTTTGGGATCTCTTCATCCAAATAAAAGCAAAGAAATAACGGGACATCTAGAACTTGGAATGGAGGTTAGTTTTGAAGAGAGCGCATACAACTATTGTTGCAAGTATGCTGGAAAAAAAGGTTTTGACGTGAGGAAGCATGACTGATTAAAAAAAAAAAGAAAAACAATGCAAGTATTGTAACAAGGGTAACTTACACTTGTTCAAGACAAGGTTATCGAAGAAATGATGAGCCGGTTGAAGTCACAACTTATACTCAAATGATTTCTATTTCAAGTAACTAGTATTTTATTTAAATTAATGTTAATATCGTTTATACATATATATATATATATATATATATAATTTACCTGTTATGACTTGTTTATATATTTCAGTGTTATAGAGATCATGTGCTGAGAATGGAACTCAAGTACCATTTTTTGGTCCAGTTACAAACTCTCAAAATAACATTCTTTATATCGAACAATTCCAAGTAACTAGTATTACCCAATAAGTATTATCCTATTGTTTTTACGAATGCTTTTATAAAATATAATTTGTTTGGTAATTTATAAGAAATTATGATGTATCTTCATGACCTTTTACAAAGTAATAGTGCTAATAAGGGGCCTGGAAAATGAGAAAATACAGACCATGGAGGCAATTTTTGTCAAATTATGGAGAAGACGTAATCATTTTGTTGAACTTGTACTTCACTAAATTAGTGTGGCTGAAAGGATGTAATAAGTACTAGTGTTACTTTGATGATAATTTTGGAGATTGCTATTGTTCCTTAATCTGCTTATTTGGTCATCAAACCACACAATTTCTCTTTACTGAACATCTTATTTTTCATGTACTACTAGGGAGCTAAACTGGTTTCATATGTTGATTTTCTCATGTATTCCTCTCTAGGTGTCTCAATATAACTCTCCATCGGCACACATACACTCCATAACCAGTTACAGAAATGACAACGGCCTAAATAAGTAAAACTAAAAACTTCAACAAGATATGAATTCATCAATTCACTGCACGATAATAAACTGCAATCCTTTAAAGGAGAAAGGCACTTTCAGATGTACATGAAAACATAGACGTTCTTCTTAAGAATACATAAGGTATTAAACTTTGTCTGAGTTACAAAACCAACGTAACTACTATATTGGATAGTCCTTTACATGTCTACTATCAAAGTTCAAGCAACACAATTTTGGAAATTACTAAACTTCCGATTCTATTAGGAAAGAAGTGTACTTTAGTGAAATGAAAACTTCACAAGCAGAGTTCCTCTCGGAAGGTGAATGGAGGATTTTTCCCTTATTGAAAACAATCAACTACACCCCTTTTTCCTCTCTCAGATAATGGTGGGTCCATTGTGAAGCTAACGAGGCAACTGAACGTGTTGCAAGCTCTGCTTTGTATAGGCTCTCCCTTTGTGGTTGTTCTTTATGCAGCTCGTGATGCTACTTGTACTCAAACACAAAAAAGAAAACACGTTGTGCTGAGATACTCAAAACTATTGAAAAAACCAAAAAATAGGTCCTGAAATACTCAACTAAAATCAATGAAGTTACCATGATGCTCCCATATCGATTGGACAACTAAATGAGTAATCAGTATGAATCCGGCCACTAAGTCCGTGCCGTGATTCGAGCAAGATCACCTAACAAAATTATGACAAGAATGTTAAGACAAAGCTGAAATCAAGCAAGATACAACAATTTTTAGATCATTCCTGAGGGGTCTAAACATATTCACACACACACACACACACACGTATATAGAGAGATAATACTAATAGTTCCAGATCAGTGACCTTAAAAGATTATCATGCAGAGTTTGTGCAGCTGCAATCCCTGATATACCACCACCAATAACAATAATAGAAGGGCATACATTATGTTGCCTCTCAATGTGAGACGAACATCACCTCATGTGATAGGCACATCCGTTCTACATTCCGGATAATTTCTTCCAAATACGTAGGCACACTATTCAAGTTTATCTAAACCCTAAACTCTTATCATAGGACTCTCTCTGTTACGAAGAATAATGTTTTTAGTACAAATTTGGTAATTCCTGATTTAATTCCATCACATATTAGATACCTTTCCATATTAGCATCTCCATCAAATCCAAAACATATCCTTCGCATAACAGTCCACTCACCAAACAACTAAAAACCTACCAAGAAAGTCTCCCAATATTCTGTCATATACATATAACATTTTATTTGCAAACGGAAGGAAGAGCTGAATAACAACCACCCAAAATTTCAAATTATTCAAATACATAAGACATAACATAAAAGAATACAGGAGAGAATGGATCGTTCGGGTCCATTGGAATTGAAAAGAATTGATTTGAACTGAAAATTTTAAATAATTGGTTAATTCGAACAAATTTAGCAATGACAAGAGCAAACTGTAATAAGAGAAAACCCTGCTCGCATCAACAAAATTGAACATAAAAATTGATAATGCAGAAAGAGTCATTTGTATATCTTCGAAAACATACCTAATTCTTTGCTTTTCAAGACCGTCTGGCTCTTTTTTCAAATTTGTCACTGGTCCTCGTTAATCGGAGTTCGTCATTGCCGCTCTGGGTGGATGGTTGTCTGAACCAGAGGTAGAGGTAGTCTGAGCAAGAAGGAGAGGGATGATTGAAGTTGATTTTATACCATATATTTTACCCTAATCTTAGTTATAATTTATTAGTTATTTTGGTAGCATTTTGATACTTTGTTATGAATTTTCAATGTAGGACATTTGAATTCTTCTGCAGTAAAAAGTGATTAAACGGATGAATTTCAGAGTGATTCCAAATGGAGGGTGTTCGTGTGCCTTTCAAGATGATTGTGTCAAAATTCCAGAATTTTCTACCAAGCCATTTGACCGTGACAATGAAATTAAGGCCCAGCGTGCAGCTTTCCTAAATTGACATTTCTGGACGTTTTGGGTATTTTGAAGGTCAAGATGGCATATTTTAAGGAAGATTGTTTTCTGAGTATTTGTAGGGGATGACTTAAGCTTTCAAAAGAGACCTTTTGGGACCAAATTGGAGTTGATTTGATTGGTCAAAAGTCTGATTTTCTGAGAAATCCGAATTTTAGTTCAAATAGAAAACCTAGTTATTTTCTGTTTTATTATTTAATTATGTTTCCTAGTTTTACTCCAAGACTTTTCAGGGTTTTATTTTGTATTAGTACAAATAAGATATTTAGCCATTAAGGGGAGAGGGGGAGAAAACGCACGCACACTTTAGAGAGCTTTTGGATTCAAGTTTATTTTCAACGTGTTTTTTATCCTTATTTGTAATAATATTTCGTTGTATGACTGCTAGTAATTAAATTCCGTTTGCTAGGTTGAGGCCATGAGCCTTAGCAAGAATATATAGTTTCTTTTCAATTTGCTTATGATATTATGCATGCAAGTTTGAATTATTAATCACCGGTTTAAACTATCTACTTGTCTCAGTGCTTAGCTACTATTAGGATCTTTAGAAAAGTAATTTAATGCAATTTTGGTTGAAGATCGGTCCCTGAAATTGATGAATGCTTCTTGTGATTAATATGTGCAAGTTCACTTAGGATGACTACCACATCTTAAGGGTTGTATGGTTTTTCAAAAGGTTTCACAAAGCTTAATGAGTCATGCATGTTTAGGTTTGATTTGAATACCACAGACGGGTTGCATGTTTCATATACGCTCTATGTTGGGGGTCCAAGTAGGCATATATTAGGAAAACCTAACCTTCAAATTATGCATATGTAATTCATAAGTAATTGGAATAACTACATAGGATTGTTAAGGTGGCGGCGAATGGAACATCCCACATCGCCCAGTGGAGTGGATCTTGTAAGCCTTATATGTATATTCCCATCTTTACCTAGCATGAGGCCTTTTGGGAGCTCACTGGCTACAGGTGCCATCCGAACTCCGAAGTTAAGCGATTTCGCGCAAGAGCATTCCCACGATGGGTGATCCACTAGGAAGTTCTCGTGTGAGTTCCCAGAAACAAAATCGTGAGGGCGTGGTCGGGGCCCAAAGCGGACAATATTGTGCTACGGTGGAGTCGAGCCCGGGATGTGGTAAGGGCTCGGGCAGGGATGTGACAATTTGGTATCAGAGCCAATCCCTGGTTGGAAGTGTGCCGGCGAGGATGTTGGGCCCCTAAGGGGGTGGATTGTAACATCCCACATCACCCAAGGGAGTGGATCATGTAAGCCGTATATGTATATTCTCATTTTTATCTAGCATGAGGCTTTTTGGGAGCTCACTGGCTTTAGGCTCCATCGAAACTCCGAAGTTAAGCGAGTTCACGCAAGAGCATTCCCAGGATGGATGACCCAGTGGGAAGTTCTCGTGTAAGTTCCCAGAAACAAAACCGTGAGGGCGTGGTCGGGGCTAAAGGGAAAATATGAGATTTATGTGGGATTTCTATTGACTAGCATGCATATACAATTCAAAATTTATATACGAAAATAACGGAAGCATGTCATCAATTAATATCAAAGCTCTAGTCATGAAAATCCCCTTCAAGATTCATAGGTTTATTTATGATGCATCAAAAACAATTTATTGAAGAACAAAGTTTAGGAGTAGTTTTATACCTCTTGATCTAGATCTTAGACCAAGGATTGACCACCTCCAAGCTCTTTGCTCCTTGAACTCCTTGAGCCTAGCCTCCCTCCTTGCCTCCTCCACTTTGTTGAGAAGGAGTGCTCCTAGGTCCTCTTCAAGTTTCCAAAATTGAAAACCTCTAAAGATCCTCACCCACTAGTGTAGTGAGAAGGATGAAGGAAAAACCAAAGGGGTGATAAAATGATTAGCTAAAATACCCTTATGGTGGCCGGCCCTTTGAGTGTTAGAGAGAGTTATTTTCTTTTCTCTTTTGTTGTTTTGAACACCAAGAAAAAACCCCCATTTAAACTTTCATTATAAAGTTCCTTTTATAACATAAAGAAACAAGTCAACAATTGACCTTCTCTCTCCCTCTCTTTGGCCGGCCTTCTTAGTGTTGTTTGGGCCTTGGGCTTTTATTATTTCAAGTCATCCAATGCTTGAATAAAAGCCCAATGGGTTTAGGCCCAATGGGCCCAATTAAACCCGAACATTTCTTTAAGCCCAAAACGATCTTTTATCGCTTTTATGATTTCTTTAGACTTTCTAAATTAATCACAACACTTAATTAATCCAATTAATTATTTCCATCATCCATTAGTTACTCACTACAAGAGTGTATTGGTGAACAATCTTTTAGGTTCTAATTAGCAAGGCAGTGAGGTGATTGGCACCAATCCAATTGATTATATTTAATCCATCCACTTAGTGAATTAAAACTTACTTTTAATTCACCTTCTTCTTTGATGACTACATTTAATCATCTAGAAGAACTCACAAGCCATGAGTGACATCTAAACATATATCATGGCTACCCAAGCTAATGTAGAAGTTTATTCGGAGAACCTATTCAGTTGGAATTACAATGTAATTCGATCCTTCTCTAAAACAATACTCTCAATCACATCACTAGGGTATGGATATACTATGTCAAACCCCTAATGTGATTATGCTTTCTTATATGATTCAATTGAGTCGCATAGGAACGTTTTCCTTCATTACGCTCGAGACTTCGGCCGAAGATTCCCGAATCATATCTCAGAGTATTCTTCCTCTCATAACGAGGATCAGAGATTCCTTGTTGATCATTCACATGCCTACATGTTTAGATACCTTAACCCCAACAATGCCGTGGACACTCCAATGGAATGTCGTTTGACATGATCAAAGATCAAGGACCTAACCATTAGACATCTATGATGTCTTAGGTCAAAGGATTACTTACATTATTCCAACCTTCAGAGTTACTTGCTTGACATGTGAGTAGACCTCTATGCAAGTACTCTCGTTCGATTGTGTTCAGTGAACTCATTCCCTTAATGAGCACCTACATACTTGTCTTAGTGTCACTACACGAATGGGATGAGACTTTCCATCCTTCCATTTGAAGCAGACATAGTATGTACCGGTCTATGCATTGTCAGTATCCCTCCGACAATCCTATGACCAGGAACCTTTTTGGACATAATGGTTATGAGAAGAAGGTCTCTGTAGTCTAATCATCATTAGATTACTTCTTCCATCAATCCATTGTCCATGGATTCATCATTTAGGACATATTTCGTTCATTGAGATAGTCCTAATTAGTATCTTTGCCTTCCGATGTATAAGAGTCATATATACATCATTACATTGTCCTGAAAGGTTTCTTCCAAAGATTGACTTTCAGGGCATATTTCCAACAATCTCCCACTTGCACTAAAGTCAATCACTAGTGTAACTTATACATGCTAGTTGAGTGAGCTTATGCTCGTAGGTTAACTTGGTTATGTATTTAATCACCTTTTAATTTAAAAGGGATTTACTTATCAAATGTTTCTAAAACATTTTGATGATGTCTCTTTCTTGTGTTCGAATACTTTGATGAGACCTTGATTCCATGGCTTGAGCTATCGCCCCATTACGTCGTAGTATCCTACTAACGACCTTATGGTTTGGATTCAATCATTGGTTCTAAAAGAACCCCTTCCATTCAAAACACCTTTTGAAGCAGTTTCTAAAACAATATATCGACATATATTTCGTTTGTATACTTTATACAAACTTTGCTCCAATCCTTGAGACCATTGTAGTACAATACTATTAATATATTCATACGATTAGTATTTCATTCATTATGAAGTTCCATTTGTTTAAAATGGATTATTTTCACTTTGGTTCATAACCTAAGTGAATGCACGCTTCTAGAGTCCCACTCTGATGTTCCTTTCTTAAAGGCAATAATACTCTTTTAGTTGCTATGGTTCTGATCCTGGGATATAGTAATATTTTAAAGTGACAACCCATGTGGTTTTTTCACCTTTTGATATTTACTCACAAGTCCATACATGTGTCCCTTTTGTGATTTTATGACACATCTATTATAAGGGTTATGAAAGTGATTTTCTATCATATAGAAAAATGCTTCCTTAAATCTTCAACATTTGAGATTTAATTTCCCCCTATAACTTCCTTGAGATAGCCTTTGTTATATCAATAAGTCCAATTTCAAGTCTATACTTAAAATTAACCGTGTCATGTCTTGTCATTTTTCGAGTAACATCTAGGTTTGATCAAGTCTATCAAATAGACTTTATTCATATCTTGTTGCTCAAATTATGACATCACTCCCATTGGGTTTGTTGTAACTTAGCATTCATTCAAAAAACTTAACACTTAAATTTTCTTGATTTGAATGCATATTGCTCCCACTAACTTGTTTTGGATCTATTGACAATCATTGAGATCCATTAGCTTATTAATGATGTCTCAACAATTTTGAGACTATCAACAACGCTAGCTAACACAAGTTATTTAAATGAATCATTTAAATGGTGTCATACACCATTCTTCAAGTTTTAGTCATACTAAGACTTTAATGTAGTCATATAAGAATTATCCAAGTCTTTAGTGAAAGCAAGGCTTCTACTAAGGATATAGAAACTCAACCATTCCTTCTAGGTGGTTGATATAATTCTTTATCAAAAAACTACATAGAGCGTTATAGTTACATAAGGTGACGAATTCGGATTGTCTTGTTGTTAAACTATATGTTGTGACT